TCTGCGGCATTCATACTTTTCATAGCTATTATATTATTGTTCATCGCTATAATGAACTAGTTCATCGAGATATTACCTGCAGCTGATGGTCACAATTTTACAGCACGTGTATTTTGTACTGCAGCTACAAGGAGGACTAATTGCACTGCAAGCATTTCCTAGATGTCGACATGTATATGTTAAATGCTATACAATAATCGCAAGGCACGCAATGGAAGGGAAGGAGAGGATTGGTTCAGAACTGTTTTCTTCATAATATTCATAATAATAATAATAATTATAATGGAATGGGGACTTATTATTATAATTTTTGATTTTTACAATGATCACAGCTCACAGGCAAAGACAAAAAAATTGCGTAGTGGGAGCATAGTGATGGCGAGGATTTTTTGCTGGAAAATAATCTAATATGCACAACTAAAAGGGAAAGAAGGGGGAAAAGAGCGAAACAAAAAGGCGATTAAACTACATGTATACAGCGGAGAAAATTTCAGCAGGTAACAACTTGATCACTATTTTGTCAATCGAAACGATCAGCTTCTTCTTGCGCTACCGACATTTTTTGGTCCGACAGTTGATGCAGAAGTGACTGAAGTTTGCATAAGCCTAAGATACAGTCACTGACTGGTGAGGTCCGATACCAAACTGTCAACATCGAAGAACATGCACGGCTTGATGTCACTGCCAAGTGGGCTGTGGGTAGTCGATTAGATGGAACACTCATTTTCTGCGTTTTTCATCCCCACATACCATTGTGCAAGGGTTTATCGGGTGTTAGCGGCCGTCGTGAGTTCCCTTCGGTAACGGACACGATAATTTGCTTTTTACTTTTACCATTGTGCATCATTGTCACGAAAGAGAAAAAATGAAGGCGTTACGAAAAGGGTCTGCGGCATGTGGAACAAGAATTTCTTCTTGTTGTGACGTATGCAAGCGGAGGAATTGGCAAGATATCCCTCTGCAAGCGAGTAGCTTCCCTGTTGGTATCCAAGGAAGGCGATCAATTACTCTCATATTATGTGATTCATCAGGGGAAAGATAGCATTCTCCCTGCTGCTATCTTCCATCATAATAGAAGATCATATGCTTACTTTTTTTTCTTTTTTTTTGCTGGCAGTATGAATAATTTTATATTTTTTATTTATTTTATTTGATAACCGCAATCAGTAATACAAGCTGGATCGACATTTGTGTACACTGTATTCATGTATTGTAAAACTGTGGACACAATGTGCAATAAAACGATGAAAAATGTGAAGAAATTGTGCAGAGAAAGAAAGGGATTCAAACAAGTTTTCGTACAACACTCATCAGGAATCGTCGTTGTACTAAAGGACACTGAAACAAAAATTGAACTATTATAGAAAATCTAAGTTAAAGAAATAACACTAAGAGCAACAACAGTGAAATTTACAAGTGTGAATTTTAACAATCAAAGCGATTGGTTATGGACTACAGTTAAAAGTGTTGGAAGCTATCTATCAGCGTCTGTACAAGCCTGATTTGTGTGTACAGAAAGATAGTATAATTGGGTTGAAATTGTTCAAGTAACGTGTCGTGTTTAGTGCGGCCAAGCTTGGCCGTTAATTTTCTAGGTGTAATGTACTGCTGTTATGTGTTATCACGTTGTCTTTCCTTCCTTTCTCCTTTGTTCATTGCTCGCTTTGATTGTTAAAATTCACACTTGTAAATTTCACTGTTGTTGCTCTTAGTGTTATTTCTTTAACTTAGATTTTCTATAATAGTTCAATTTTTGTTTCAGTGTCGTTTAGTACAACGACGATTCCTGATGAGTGTTGTACGAAAACTTGTTTGAATCCCTTTCTTTCTCTACACAATTTCTTCACATTTTTCATCGTTTTATTGCACATTGTGTCCACAGTTTTACAATACATGAATACAGTGTACACAAATGTCGATCCAGCTTGTATTACTGATTGCGGTTATCAAATTGTTGTCTCCTCGCCGTTTGTTCAAATTTATTTTATTTATTTTATTTTTTGACAATGCAACACAATTATTGTGGAAAGGTCACAACAATAAGAGACAAGATCAAAAGGAAAGCTTTACAATAATAATAATATAACTTAGCCTGTAAAATGAAAAAGTATGCCTACTTGGATGTACTGTAGACGGCACTTTAGCGAGTCGCCTGTGCCTTGGCTCTGAGTTAGTGATTTACTGAATCAGCGGTATAACAGTTTTTTTTATTCCGTAAGTCTATACTCGGAGTGAGGGTAACAAGGATGCAGTTTACAGGGTTATGGGCCGTTACACGCCCGATTGATTGAGAGACTCACCTACTCTCCCCTGACTCACTTGTGAGGTCTGCATTCGCCACTAAGGTGTACAAGGAATAGGCATAGTGGTGGCCTGCGGAAGCGAAGGCTAGTTTGTGTGTTTCTGAACATTCTAGCGATGCCAACGCGAATCCCGCGAATTACTACGGAGGATTAGCAAGACGAAATTCGCGCTCGCGTTCGCAAACATTTTTCAGTTCGCGAACTGGATTGCGAACTTTCGCATTTTTCGTTCGGAAAAGTAATCGGAACACGAATCGTGGATTCGTGTCAGGGCAGTCATAAATTTACCACCCTGTACTGCCTACGTCGTGTCAACATCATGCATGTGCGAATTCCGTTTGATAATCCTTCTCATAACGCGAATTCCGTCACTGAGTTCGACTTTCTTTGGAGAGCGAACGCGAACGCGAATTTCGTCTTGCTAATCCTCCGTATTATTATTTATTAAGTCTATACTGCGTACACTTAACCACCACCACCGTTGCACCCTGCGACCGAGCATGTACATTTCCGCCAACGGCAACAAAAATGTTGTTGCTGTTGTCGGAAGTGCACGTGATCGGTCACAGAGCGCAATGGTGGCGGTGGTGAAGTGGACGCAGATTTTCAATGGCCGAGTGCTGCAGCTTACTTTCTATTATCATTTCCCTGCAGTACTAACATGCTGCCGCTTAGCTATGTAAGTCTGTCCGTAGTATGCTGTTTTGGGATTGGTTATTTGTCGAACCTTTAGTTACAATTTTGTGGAACACTTGGGGAAAACATTCATCGCCGCCCCATGGACTTGTCCGCAGACCAGTGGGCCACTGCTGAACATCTCCTCGATTTCCTGAGGTCGGTGGACAAGTTGACGACATCTTTGGGTGGTGAGCAGTACTCAACCCTGTCCTGGCTTCTGCCTCTACTGACGGCACTGAAGTACCATTGCCAGACCGGAGATGATGACGACCTGCTGGTAGTGGCATGCGTGAAGCAGGCATTTGCGGATCGTACAACTAGGCGCTTTCATTTGGATGGCTTAGATGCCAACGGAGAGGCAGTGCTTGCTGCTGCGTTGGACCCTCGGTTTCGGGCTCTACGGTTCATCGACTTGGAGCAACATGAAATGCAGCAAACGCTCATCAGCTACGCAAGTGTCGGCTGCTCGCCCTGCACGGAATCTTCAAGCTCTAGCTCGGAGCCACCAGCAAAACGCCGCTGCCTACTAAATCAGCTGCTTTGCGACGACGGTGAGGATGAGGATAGCGAGGGGTCCATCGAAGAAGAGGTAGCAGCTTATCTGGCTGAAAAGCCAGTCAAGCGCTCTGTTGACCCTCTGTTGTGGTGGAGCACAAATGCTGCCTGATTTCCCCGCCTGGCTCCACTCGCACGGAAGTACTTGTGCATTCCAGCAACTTCTGTTGCATCTGAGCGCGTGTTGTCCTTTGCTGGACAGATCGTCGACAAGCGCCGGAGCAAATTGTCTGCAGAAATGATCGATGCACAAGTCGTTCTGCACAAGAACGCCCACATCATCGATGTACGAGTTCCTGCGCCACGGAAGCCGGCCATGCCACTTGTCTTGGTTGCAGTCGAAGACGATGATGAACCTTCACTGCCAGATCTTCCTTCACAGCCAATTGAATTATAGATAGTTCATGCTCTCTCTCCCTGTGTGTGCGTGTATGTGCATGTGCGTGCGTGTATGTGTGTGTTTGCCTGCCTCTCTCTCTCTCTCTCTCTCTCTCTCTCTCTTTCTCACTCTCTCTTTCTCTCTCTCTTTCTTTCTCAAGAAGAAGATTCATTCTGGCTAGAAATGCTTCCAGAATGCCCGTAAAAGAGGCTTTGTGTTTAAGATCATAACCAGTGACAATGCTCTTGTAAAGGGTGTATGGCTTGCTAAAGGGTACAAGAAACACGCGCGTTAAGCCAGGTACCCGTTTGTTAGCTTAAAGTTTCTACTGCACGTGAAATAGGCGATGCAGTAAGTTAGGTGTCAAGTTCGACAGAAATTGTGTAAATTCTGATGGCTGATATCAGGTCGTGGGTGCAGATAGTTGGAGAAACAGTTTCCCAATGCTACGTCCGTACATCTTACCCAGACTTAAATACATGTGACCAGTAAAGCTGATGTACCGAATTTTCGGCCTCATTTTCTCTGTGTTGCGCTTATAAATTCCTGTAGGACGAAACAGTTCTTTCCGCAGATTGAGAAGGACCATTAGTAATAATTATATGTATTACTGAGTACCAAACTACTGTCGATCAATATTTTTCCTTGCGATTTTATTTCGCTGATTTCGTGGCTTGGAGGTATCCATCCCAAATAGATCGCCACCCTAAGTTTGTTCTAGAGACAAATTATGCAATATTGAGGCAGTGAGAGGAACAACTATCGATCGATCTTTTTCGAAAACCCCAATCGACCAAAGTTTGATGACGGCCAAAAGTGTCACTCGAGATGAGTCAACTTCTCACGGGCCAGCATTATGTTAAAAATCGGATATTGAGCCAATAATAAAATTAATGTAGAAAGGAAAAAGCCAGCATTAATTGTGTTCATTTACAGCACATTAATCAATATGGATACACCTTAGGTTGTAGGGCGTATCTTGAACTCCTTAGAAGTAACCGTACTCTTATACTATACGATAAGCATGAGTGGATAAGTCGTGGAATATCTCGACATCTCGGTTTGATTCTTTCCGATTCCTTGCCTGGCCGCCATTAGCAACATTATTAATTTTTGATCACGTTTACGTTTTTAGAGTCTCAAAATGGCCAACATGGAAAACACGCTCAAAGATCTCAAGACAGCTCTTGTCCAGCAGGAAGGTCATGGTTTGCCGGTGAATCTCTTCCAGGTCACGGAGTTCAACAGCAGCCAATTCACGTTGGATGGTAAAATCAAAATCCTCGGTGAGCCGCTCGGACAGGGCAGTTTTGCCAAAGTATACAAGTGCCGAATACCAGGCATGTTGAAGGTAAGGAAATGGAGAATTTAGACAAAACTTTGAAAATGCCGTCTGATATCGAAATAATTTCTAAATAATCGATTTTTCTCCAGACACTGAATTGAATAAGGAAGTGCGGAGGTGGGGCCCATTATTTAAGTTCAGCCGACCAGAGGTCGTACTTATCCCAGAATTATCCCAGGATGTACGTTGTAAGAACAACTTTCTGGCGGAGTTTGGAAACTGTCTAAACATGGAAATTATGGCATAATTCGGACAATCTGATGATGGCTCCTGGCAGAACAATTTTCTGAATTTGAAGAGGCTGGTATGCAAGAGACCACCAGGGTTTGTGGCGGTTTACACTCCTAGGGTTCAGCAGTCCTAACTCGACATAGACACAGTGAACTGATGAACGTATACATGAGCATGCACATGCACCGTGTAGAGAAAATGCATTGCCATGGGCTTGGCTTTGCGTTACGACGAATCCAAACTGCTGCTCTTTCTCTTTCTGCTTTGAAATGCTCTGGTCTATATGCATTGCGCACTTGCGCGGCTATTTACCAAAACACGATCCTTTGACCAGTAAGACTATCTTTTCTGGGAAACGTTCACATTTTGTACTGTTGGATTATTTGCAAATACTAAATCGACTGCCAAATAGCATCCATTTACCGCCATGTCAGAGGAAGATAACCTAAAAGTAATATCCGTTTCCTCGTTCTCTACTAGACCGCTATTGTTAAGCTTTTGGCGCGCGGCGGAGTTAATCAGGATGACGCACTCATCAACGAGGTGGTGATTGCGCGGCAGTTGCGCCACCCGAACATCTGCGACTTTTTCGGTGCGCTCCAGACGGAGACGGGTGCGGGACTTGTCATGGAGTTGGTGGCCGGTATCACTCTGTTTGAACTGTGGAAGGACGAACCTCAGGCAATGCCAGAGGCGATGTTGCGCGATGTGACGCACCAAACCCTGCAGGCACTATGCTACCTAGACTCGGCTGGAATTGTACACGGGTAAGTTTCACGTTTATTGACTGCAGGAAGTCAGCATCATTGGGCCAGATGATTGGATCTACATAGTCTACTGTCTGCAAGGCGAAACTGGTTGTAGAGTTCGGTTTTATATTCTGGCCTGTGACCTGAGGTGTCCATTGATGACTACCTATTCTTACCCATATGCGAGCAGGTCCTACCCCCAGAAGAAATTGTAAAAATTCAATACGGTTAGGCCAGGATGTGGCAATTTACTTGTTCCACGAGCTGCTTTATCTCTCTTGTCTCTGTTGTTTAATGCAATCAAACATCATATATCTAGGATTATTGATTTGAATGATGTCTGTCGCTATTGGGTGTCTGAGTTTCACACGTGTTTGCTAGAGTATGTGCCTGCATGTATGGTCGTTTTTTTGTGATTTTCAGCGACATTAAGAATGACAATATTATGATATCCCCTGACGGAACGATTAAGCTGATTGACTTCGGGTTAGCAGTCGACATGAAGAACCCAGGTCATATTAAAGTTCGACCACGCCAGCGCTCCCATCCTCCCGAGACTAGAACATTAAACATGGGCGGTATTTGCCCAAAGACGGACGTTTTCATGTTGTAAGTACGACATCAATCCGCGCCTGATCAATGAATTAATATTATATCAAGCCTCTTTCACGGGCAAAGCAAACACAACAGATGAAACAGGAATATATAATCATACAAACCAAGAAAACAAGAAATTACGTCTGGAGATTGCGATGTAAACAAACAAATTATTGCCAAGTTCATAGTTTTGAGTTAGAGTCGGTTAGGAATAAATTGCTCGGATGTACAAGCTACATATACTGTAAAGTATATTTTAATTGTTCATGTATTTCAGGCAGCTTCTCGAACAGAACAGTCTGTAGGAAAGATGTAGCGACATCGGCGGTGATTACTGAAGAAGGCGTCTCCTCCGAGCGTCGGAGTTCGCGCTTCCCGCCTACTGACTTGATACTTGACAGACTCACGACTGCGTCAGGAGCAAAGGAGAAGCCCTGTCCAACCTTCCACTTGGCAAACCTGCAAAAACGCACTGCCTGCATAACACACAGTATTTCGGGGAATTCACCCCTCATCAGTTAGGCCTGAGTAGACTACTGAAAGTTCTGCTCCGAGAGCTCTGCATTGTGTAGTGCTCTCACCTCCCACCATTTAGTTGTATTTCCGAGCAAAGGACAAAAGTACGAAAGATGTTGCGGCATCGAAGATGATTAGTGAAGAAAGTGTCTGCTCCGAACGTTGGAGCTTCTCGTGAGCTCCAAACGCAGTTGTGGGTCAGACAAGAGTCAAGTCAGTCGGCAGGAAGCGCTAGCGCCGACATTCACAGCACACATTTTCTTCAATAACAGTCTGTGTTCCGGGTATCTTCCGCTTGGTTATTGTTTCTGAACACGAAAACAAAAAAAATATTATTTTACCTTTTTTTCGAGCCCACTTCGGGTTATGAACGTATCTGGAATTGACATGAAATCACGTGATCAGGGTGATACTAGCACGAAAGCACATGTATAATACTACGGGACCGGAACATGAAAAACTCTACTCAACAACTTTTCGGTAGCTGCGTTACGTATCAGTGTGGCGGAGTGCGGCACACATAGCAGAAAGCAACACACAAACAAATGACAAGACACAATGTTGGCTGGGTATTTTCCATCTCCACTTCAGGGGTGCCTTGATGTACAAGTATGCTTGTGTCGATTGGCCATTCGGGTTCGTGCAAGACAAGTCCGACGCGACTCTTGAGAGCATGATGGCCAAGGGACTGGTTGTCAACACAAAGCAATTCAGGGACCTCTGTGCAGACTTGCGACATCTATTCGTCAACATGATGACCCTGGATAGTGCGCATAGACTATCAGCGGAGCAGGCAATTAAGCACACATTCTTCACGGGGCAAGCGGAGTTCAAGTATCGCATACCGCGCCTGATGAAGTGGAAACCCTGCTCAAGCCCAACCACGCCTCAGGAGCTGAATGGAGCAGCCATCGACAACCTGGCATCCAAGCTGGAAATGGAGCGCATTGTTGTCATAGATACAGTACTGACGTAAGTTTAGACTTGGATTGCATGTATCAATGTCTGCAAAAAAATCAATGTCTGCAAAAAAACAAACAATGTCTGCAACAAAAATCAATGTCTGCAAAAAAAATCCATGTCTGCAAAAAAAAACAATGTCTGCAGTACTGTAAAACCGTCAAGTCTAATGAGTCACAATGCGCAACGCTCTAACGTTTTAACGACCACTTATATTCGTTATTTAAAAAAAGCGTTATCGCTAGATGTCTGTGTAAAAATGCGCATACAAATGGGTGGCCAGTTTGCCATCGTTACACATTCTGCACGTAATCATGCCAAAATTACAAAAACGGTAAACTGTTTGGTCGTTAGACGTTCCGGTTTCACAGTACATCTATATCCAACATGTATATCCAACATGTATATCCAAGACATTTTGACGATCATTCACCACAACGCCTCTGAAACTGTTGCATGGATGTTAAAAATTATATTTTATTGCAGGTGAGGTGTCAGATTCTTGCGATTGTGATACGATTATGTTCTCCTCTCCGTTCCATTTTCTTTATGTGCACAGGAAACCAAATGGCTGGCTTGGCATAGCATACCGCGCTAACGTCGGCAATCAACCCGAGCCCACCCGGGTCACAATTAGAGTAACCTCTGTATAAGCAGAGTGGCATTTTTGCACGCCAGATGACAATTCACTAAAACCATTTATTACGCCCGGCGTCTCCTGCCTCCCTGTTCTGAGATTACGGCTGTGAATATGATCACATGTAGTACGGTTCAAGTCCTGCTTGGAAGCGGAAGGATTTTTTCCAGCCGTGCTGCGACCCACAGTTAATTGGGAACTCGTGGCCTGGCACGAGGAAAACATGGATGCAGTGAATGGGATTTTCGGTCTTTGACCACTTGCTGGTGAGCTGATCTACTCACCTCCCACCGCTTTAGGAGCTGCATCTGCGCCTTGATCCTTGAAGGGTGGTGGCGTTCTTACGGATGCGGAAAGCCCGTCTTCCAGCCGAGTCTCACGCGAACCGTGAAATTTAAATTAATTAGTACACTATTCGTACACCATTCACTTATATTATCTGTGTACGCAAATAGAATTGTTCTTTTTTTGCTGGTGGTACATTGGGGTCCAACCTGTTCACAAGGGAGGGGGGAGGGCACGCAGCGATGCCAGCCAATTAAGTGGAGAGAGAGCGCGAGATGAGGAAACGTGGGAAAGGGCCTCCGTATAAACTGACTATGTGTGCCATATACGAAATTAAAGCGTAGCAACACTCCTCATACGCGGCAAGAAGCTCAATACCGAATGAAAAAAACAATCACTGGTCTGAGGGAACTTGCAAACGGGAAAAGGCTGAATAAAAAATGGACTGTCACCACAAGGATTCTGATCAGGGACCTTCGCTTGAGAACAGAAACAACCAGGAGCGAATAGGCTCTTCAACCGCGAGCGAGTGTGCTTTGAAACACCAGCTTTGCAATACAATCCAAGGCGACCACCTGTCCACAGACCACCGCGACCAGGACCAAGGAATACTATTTCCATTAACCCTGGATAAGGAGACCACATTGTTACAGAGACAACAGTCATTTTGAAGGTCCCTTGAGCAGTCGTCTTAGACAGATTCCATTGTAGTTGGTGTTGTTCAAAATGTTAGAACTTGCACCCTAGTAATAAACTGTACAGTATGTTTTATGCGGTTTCCTATTTTTTGAAACTGTTTCCATTTTCCTGTTGATGGATTCTGGCGAACAATTTAATTGGATCTTGAAATTTGCAGCGAAGAGACCATTTTCGATGGTGTGTTTGGGGTTACTCATGACATGAAGTGGCTGCAGTGGAGATTGCGCGCCCTACGTTTTTAGTTTTAGTTTTTTCCAAGCAATGCATGGCTAGAGCGAGCGATGGCCACTTTACGTGGCGATTGCAGGATGTTAAACTACGGATAGCGAGGAAAAGAGTAAAAAGTCGACAAGAAAGGGGCAGGAAAAAGGAGAACAGAAGCAAATATGGGTGGAGGTGGCCCTAGCTAAAGGATCTCCGGTCATATACAGTAGTTAGCCAATTATTATCATCAGCCTTTTCGCGTTGACATCGCCAAGCAGCAAGCTTGGCAAGTCTTCGCTTGGGCCTAATGGAATGAAGAATGAGGAACGAGCGCGGTCAATGAGGTGCTAATACGCATGCAATAGCAGAATACGAAAGAAAGAACAATTACATCAAAGCAATCCTTCAACACACGGATTGTCACCGATTTACTTCAACAAATAAAACCCAAAACCTGCCGAGTCCTATGGTCAATACTATGTTACATGTACGGATAATTGACGTACGGAGTGTCAAAAGCCGCAATCATAATGCAGGGAGACATAATTATGTACGATTCCACTGTTAGACTAAAGCTGAGAATTACTATCTCCTCGCAGATTACTTAGAATAATCAGACACAGCCATTGAACACGTGAAGGTGGTAGTATGGCATTGGCGCAGTAGGAGAGTATCCTTGGAAACTGCTGGAAGAGGGAATAATCTTCAAGTGGCTCATTCATCAAAACAATTGTGGAAGCTGAAGAATGAAGATAAGCCAACAACATTAAATGGTCTGCTGTGGAAACATTCAAACCACGCACAAACATCTCAAAGCATCTCAATCTCACCAATAAGATAAGCTGCAGATTTCCCGGCCTGATAAAATGAGAGAGTTGGGATCGCGCGTAGATGCGTCCTAATGAAAACAAGTTCTATCTTGGTACGGTATTTCGAACACTTGTCCCCAAAATGGGGTGAATCTAGCTTTGTGTTCATGCTATATGAATCGCGTGTGTTTGTGGTGTGTTTGATTTGGGTAACAGCTTTAAAAAATATTAACGGCCCCCGATTGAACTTCTAAAGATTTATACCTGTTTTGCGCTTTTCTGATGACAATTAGCTCCTTAGCAACAAACGTATTATCTTCGCACCTAAATCCAACTCTTTGCGCCGTTGGTGTGTGTCAGTTTCTCGCCTGGTTCTAACTTGTGTTAAAACCCGCCCGCCTGATGGTCATCTGTAGCCCGATCATCTTGATTCTGCCTTGAAATTTGGAGTCGCATTTGTGGCTCATTGGTCCCCGTGTGGAACTAAGGGCATCTCGGATTCCAAGACGTGACGATTTGTGTTCATATTCCAGCCGTGCTATATCCTAGTACAACGAGAGAGCTTGGCAGCTCAGGGCCCTACGCTATGCTTTTTTGCTTGCTCATCATGCATGTGACGTGTCAAAGCTGTGTGGACCCTGGCTAGCGCCAAACGATACTGAAGTAACGTCTGTTGTATAGCTAGCTATGGGATTAATATTTTGGTGTTTATTTATTATTTTTTTGTGTCACGCCTGGCGCTATCCCGTATTTGTCCCGTACCGTACCGGACCATCAAAGACAGCTAGCTGGCCACAAACAGATGGCCACAATATTTTTGTTTGTTTGTGCCATCGGCATGCCCGGCGCTATCCCGTACCTGTCTCGTTTCTGCCGATCACAGGCGTTCTGGAGTCGACGGAATGTCTGTCCTGACGTTTCCTGTGACCAGTAGGCACATGCGGATAATGCCGGGAGAAAAATTTGGTACTTTTCTGGTACGTTTCATGCATGTTTGGTATGTGGATAAAGAAATGGAGTAGAATTCGAGGAATTGCCCGCCATAAGGTTGGTATGGTTCTGCCAATTTCACTGCCACCTTTTTCAGCATTATCCGCACACCTCTAGTGACCGGCGCTAACTCTGCTGATCACGGGCGTTCTCGAGTCGACGGGATGTCTGTCCTGCTGTTTCCGGTGACCGGTTCTGACTCTGCCGATCACTAATGTTCTGGAGTCGGCGGGATCTCTCTTCCGACGTTTCCTGTGACCGGCGCTGACTCTGCCGATCACGGACGTCCTGGAGTCAACGGAATCTCTCTTCCGACGTTTCCTGTGACCGGCGCTGACTCGCCCGTTCAGGATTATTTTGGAGACAACGGGATCTCTCCTCCAAACTATGTTTTTGCTAACGCATTCTGTCACCTATTCGGCAACTAACATCCATTCTAATTGCATTTCCTCGTCTCCCTACTTCGTATTTCTTTCCAGAAAATTTCCCTATACATCAGGGAGTCGTTTACATAATACTACTCCCTGCTATACATCGATATATGTTATAATTAGTATGCTATCGGCCTACATGCGATTCCCGAGCTGGTCGACAGGCGGCCCAACCAGCCTGCTAGTGGGATCTCGGCCTAGCCCACAAATCCACACAAAATGTTACTGCAATATCGGCCTGAATGCATTCCTCCGATACACTTCGCATATATACTCATTCTCTTGATGGTACCGTACTCTTGATGGTACGGGACAGGTACAGGATCTAGGATAGCGCCAGGCATGCCAATGGCACAAACAAACAAAAATATTGTGGCCAACTAGTTGTCTTTGCTAGTATGGCACCGTACGGGACAGATACGGGATAGCGCCAGGTGTGACACAAACACACAAATACCAAACGAGAGAGCTTGGAAGCTCAGGGCCCTGCGCTATGCTTTGTTGCCTAGCTCATTGTGCATGTTGTTAGAACTGATGGAAATGCTTTTTCCTTTGATTAGCTACATCATTGTATTGCAAAAACGTTTCAATGAGATACTGAAGTACAAGTAACGCCTTCTGCATAGCTATGGGACCGGCGCTGACTCTGCCGATCACGGGCGTTCTGGAGTCGACGGGATGTCTGTCCTGACGTTTCTTGGGACCGGCGCTGACTCTGCCGATCACGGGCGTTCTTCTTCTTCTTATTATACTGACGGCAACTAACATCCATTCTGATTGCATTTAATCGTCTCCCTACTTCGTATTTTTTTCAGAAAATCTCCCCATACAGCAGGGAGTCGTTTACATAATATGACTCCCTGCTGTATGGGGAGATTTTCTGATTGCATTCACTCGTCTCCTACTTCGTATTTTTTTTCAGAAAATCTCCCCATACAGCTGGGAGTCGTTTACATAATATGACTCCCTGCTATAGATCTACATGACTGTATATACGTTATAATTACTCAATCTGATACGTTATAATTATTATGCTATCAGCCTACATGTGATCCCCGGGCTGGTCGACAGGCGGACCAGCCAGCCTGCTAGTGGGTTCTCGGCCTCGCACACAAATCCACACAAAATGTTACTGCACTGAATGCATTCCCCCGATACACTTCACATATATACTCATTCTCTTGATGGTACCGTACTCTTGATGCTACGGGACAGGTAGGGGATAGCGCCAGGCATGTCGATGGCACAAACAAACAAACATATAGTAGCCAGCTGTCTTTGCTGGGCATAACTACGAGAATTAAAGCCGTGTGGACCCTGGCTAGCGCCAGATGTTACTTCAGTAACGTCTTCTGCATAGCTACGGGAATAACATTTCTTTTTCGCGCTCATTGAACCTTGCGCTGGGCTGCGCTGCCCTTGCGCTGCCCTGGAAAGTACAGCAAATTGGCTTTTTTGTTTATTGTTTATTAGTAAATCAGTATGGATTCGATGCTGAATATAATCTACTTCGTCGGTGTTGCCTCCGGTGCGAAGAATTGCCCAGCCGAGAACAGCCCGGCCTGGTATGCAATCGCCATTGCTCCGTTCTTTTCGCTGTGCAAATAAAAACATACAGCACGAATCGCGTCAGCTTAGCGTTACACATTTCATATCATTTGGTCTAGAATTGGCTCCATACTGTAGTCATTATAATAATGATCGCCCTGGGTGAGGTTTGCGATTACTAGTATATGGAGGTATCGGATAAAAATTAATAATATTCGCGGGATCCGCGTTGGCATCGCTTGAATGTTCAGAAACACACAAACTAGCCTTCGCATCCGCAGGCCACCACTATGCCTATTAACCTTAGTGGCGAATGCAGACCTCACAAGTGAGTCAGGGGAGAGGAGGTTAGTCTCTCAACCAATCGGGCGTGTAACGGCCCATAACCCTGTAAACTGCATCCTTGTTATTCTCACTCCGAGCTGTGAGTACCCAGTTGACCGTGGGTGTCGGCGCAGTTCACCACGCCTAAAAAGTTTTTTTACACGCTCCCTGCTACCAGCGCGGGTCTTGAACTCGGGACCTCAAGATTCGCAGGCAAGCCTGCTAACCAATCGGCCATATGCGTTGGTATCGGATAACATTCTGTAAAACTAATGAAAATTTCAAATCTCAGTCAAAACGTGTTAACGAGTTCGTATTTCACCTACATAATCCAACGGAATTTGGCATAATAAGTCTTCAGCAGATGGTTGATAACATGCATGCCTTTGCAAGCTATGTTACTAGATAATCTTTTTGATTCCATTTACTTACAATAGTATATTGTGGACTACTTGATCTGGTTTTGATCCCCACGCCCTACGGATCTTCTCAACAATGGTGCGATCCAGCTGCGCAGGATTAAGTGGCGGTATGTATTGCGTGTACTGTCTGAGCTCTGGCCTGGTGAAATTTGAGCCAGCGAACCACTGGAAAAGCAGAGCCTCCGCGGCGCATGGTCTGTCGTTTGCATCGTACGCGAGGCAGCGATGCAGCAGATCTTGGAGCGGCTCTGACGACGCTGTGCATGGCTTCACGCACATACCAGCCCGAACGATCTTGAGTTGATCTGGTATGTCAACGCCTTCAACTACGCCAAACGGACCTTCGTCGAATAAAACTGTGTAGAACATGCTGGCACTGTGAGAGAGTAAGCAGTCACACGACAATAGCATAAAGTTCCATGGAGATTGACTTTGGGATCGAAATGAAATGACTAGAGCTTGTTCGTCGTGGCCCAGCTTAAAAAGGGTTGTCCATGGAATCAGGACAACTTTTTACAACGACTATTAGCAGAGTGAAACAGGCCTTGCGTGCACTGCCGACATTCCCACATGCATGTATACCAGTAGCCCATCTCAACGACTACTAGCAGAGTGAAACAGGCCTTGCCTGGACTGCCGACATTTCCACATGCATGTATACCAGTAGCCCATCTCCCAAGCATTTGGCCAGACAAGTATATAGAAGAATATGTAGCAGAATTAATTTTCCACGCTTCGTTACTCACCAGAAAAAAACGTCGCATTTGTGGTCGATACCAAGCTGCTGGTCGACCATCTCCGGCGGGTACGCGTAGCTGCTTGGCCGGTTCATACCTGGCTTTCCCTCGCGGAAGGTCTGCACCCAACCAAAATCTATGAGGATGGCTTTCTCGTTGTTGTCCGTGATCATCACGTTCTCATCATGCAGATCGCTATGAAAAAAATAAAGATAGTATGTATGTTTATTACTTACGCATAGATCAATCCATGTGCAAACGAATGCATAGCAACCATGGCAGAGTCGCCTGGAAAAGGCTTAAAAAATTCATGGCGAAGAGTTTGCGCAGATAGTAGTTAGCAAACAACTTAAGAACTGTGTTACCCTAAAACGTTTACCCCTACAACCATGATGTTGCAGGCCGCGCAAAAAGCCTGCTACTCTCCGCTCAACAATATATATGATTATTGATTTCTGTGGTCCACACGTAGAAGTAACTAGGCTTTCTCTACGTACACATATTTTCTAAAGGAAGCATCTAAAAACTCTCCCCCAAAAGAGATAACATTGAATTTTGGAAATTCGTTTTCGTTACCTACTGCAAGATGTTCACTGGTTGGAGGGAAGGACACAAATGGGAAGAGCCTGAACAATACAATTACTGTCACCACCATGAGTCGCGCTTTTTTAAAAAGCATTCTTATAGGTACTTACGCATGAACCAGATATCCCGTCTGAAGGTAGTGCAGGGCGTGTAGAACCTGCCAATAGAACGGACGGATATCCTCTTCGCCGGGACTACGCCTGTAATGGGCCTTGAAGTCATGTGTCCATTGAGAGAGTGGACGGCCGTTGATCTGGTCGAAAAACAAAAATGCATAGCTGCTAGTGTGCGCAGCTCCGAAACACGCCGCGATGTTAGGGTGCCGGAGTTGCAGACAGACTTCAGCCTCAGCCCTGACCATGTGGAGAATTCCATCCCGCTTCTTAATCTGCTTAGCGACAACCTGGAAAAACGCATCCCCAAACAGACCCATCATGATTAATGGTGAAAAATCACGAGAAAACGCTAAGACTTTTCTTGACCTTGTGTGTTTAGCAATGACGGCAGATCTCGCCTTCTTTGAGCAATAATTATAAAAGGTGAATGTAACGATCGGTGAAGACACGTATATGTAATGATAGGTAAATGTATATTCTACACTAAACGCTGTGCCCGATAATCAATCGAAACCGAGGTCTTATGCTCTACGAATACTAAACGAACTCTGGGGTTTCATATTGTGTAATAGTCGGATACATAGATTGTACACTGTGCTAGACCAGCCCAAATCCCCTCGCATTGTGCAAATAGGGATGCTCCTATAAATAGGAGAGAAACAAGTGTGTTCACGTTAAGCACATGCTATAGATCCTCAACTTACGCCATCTGCCCCAGGCAGGTACGTTGTTCGGACCTCTGCGAAGGTCCCATCACCCACAACATGACGTTCAATGGTGATGGAGTCGTCGAGGAGGCCCGTCTCGTGGTAATAAACCTCCTGGCCGAACAAACTTTCTGGCAATTCCTGAACGGGGACACTGCTGCAAGCCATCTTGACCGCTTTGTGACGTGTTGAATATTTCACGGAAGAAAGGATGATGTTAAGAGCTCAGGGAAAGAAGGAAGAAGAAGAGCCTGCAAGAAGACGAGAATGAAGAGAAAAGTATGACTTTTCACATTTTAACGGACTCAAAACCTACCAGTTGAAGCTTTAAAAAGGAACAGGGCGAATGACCACCTCTTCCTGGAGGTCCTGCTAGCTTGTTCAAGGAAACTCACCTTCGGCATGAAAGAGAGATCGCCAATCATAGCCCGGAAAACTCATTGCACTCGACAAAGCCTACACGGTCACTAGCGGACCTTTTGTATCCGTTTGCACGTCTGCATAGTACATATACATAGTTTTCATAGTATATGTACATGTGTAGCTGGCAATACGAGCCTAATGGGTACCTGATATGCCAAATACTCACAGAACGTTGCACGAGCCAACCACATGCTACATATTCCAATGTTTGTGTGCGGTTCCAGCATGCCAAGACAACTAACCCGACGTGTGCTGAAAAACTAAACTTTACCTACTACGCACTCCTAAGCATTTATGATTTTTTTTTCTTTCTTTCATATCTGGCTTGCAAGTGTTGAGTTTCAGAGAGAAAAGAGCAGTACGTGGCATGTGGCCTCTAATTTCCTAATTCTAAAATTCTTCTTGAAGTCCAAATTTGAAATTGCACTCCTAAGCATTTTTGGTTGCGGTGTACACCAATCACACATAAAATTGTCAAGCTTTAAAACTGCCTTACCGCTTTTAACATGCCGCTTTGGACATGTACCAGGAGGGAAAGGGAATCTGACTTTAGAATATCGAGAATCTATCATTTGGGATGTGGGATTTTACTTTATGTTGCAGTTGCGTGATGTCAACCACTTTCTTAGGGATTCTACTTTTAGGTTGTTTTCATGTTTTGATGATATTATTAGTGTAGTCCCTGGGTAAAATGAGGAACTGACAGCCGGCTGACTCCTCTGGAGTCCTCCAACTGATATATTATCTCTATTGCGCCAACCAGTATGGTCTGTTTTTAGTGTTTTTGTTCATTTCTTTAGAAAAGTGCACTTGCCTGAATGTATACAATGGAAAGGAACAACAACAACAACAACAACGACAACAACGACAGACAACAACAAAAAATACAACAACAACGACGACGACGACGACAACAACGACGACCACGACGACAACAAAAACGACTGACAACGACGACGACGACGACGACGACAACAACAACAACAACGACGAGAATAACAAGAACAAGAAGAAAACATAGGGGACTACACAGGGCATTTAGGCGCTATAAAGCTATGCCCATGAGGTGAAGTACCCTCCCCTGACCCGTGGTCTCGAAATCAACGCGCATAGCATGCACCATGGGGGAGGGGAGAGAAGATCAACTGTGTATGGAAGAGTGAGAGCCTGAAAGCTAGAGCATGATGGAGAGAGAAAGACACGGAGAAAAAAGCAGAGAGATTTAGTTGGGGGGGGGGGGTGAGCGAGGGAGGGTGAGTGAGTCACTACCAGATTAGTTTAGGAAGCTGTGCCAATGATTCAGCAGCTACGTTGCTTGCAAGGGGGAGGGGGTAGACGGACAAGGTAAATCGGAGCTGCTGCCAAGCAGAGCAGCTTGCAGGCACTGGATCTGCGAGAATGCGACCACCAAAAGGAGGAAAAAGGAAAGAAGAAAAGGAAGAAACACAACGCAAAAACATCTGCACAGAGGGCTTTCGGGAGCTGTAGGGAGCAAAGTCCAGTTGCATGTTCGTTTAACGTTAGTGGTCTATCGTCCAACATGAAAATGCAACTTCTGGACGAGGACCTGCGAGGCTAATAAATTCAAAATTGTTCTTTGCAGGAAACGAAAATTCAAGATGGCTGCGATGGAGTTCACATCGACTATACAATCATTCATCAAAACCATTGTGTAGGCTGAAGAGTGAAGATACGCCAACAGCATTGAATGGTCTGCTGAGTGAATCTGGCTTTGTGTTCAAGCTATGTTACTAGATACAGTCAACTTCGCCAATAACGACATTCGGCGGGGCATCAGAAAAGTGTCCTTATTCGCGAAGTGTCCTTATAACCGAAGTCCCATTTGAATGTATGTGAACCCATATTTTGTATAGTATGAGATGCATATCAAAATGAAGCTCTTTTCTTGCTCTATGTCAATGTGTACTTTATTTTCATATTGCAGTTGAAAGGAACTAAAAATTCAATATGCAAGGAAAATCAATTGAAAAATATGCCTTTTTGAGCCATCTACAGGGCCAGAGACATGTACATGTATGATGATTACTGTACAATCATGTACAACTACTGTACATGTACATTGTATACATATACAGTCATGTACATGTAAATGTAGGTGTGCTGATAAATCCAACAATTTTGAAGCCAACATAAAAAAGGAAGAAAAAGCCCCCCCCCCTTGGCTGTATTTTCTTGCATGTGTGCCTTTATATCCATCACCATAGGTTCTGGCGCAGAAAAACTAAATCTGCAGCCTCTTTTGCCGTCGGACAGGATACGTATTTTAGGAGACTGTAAAGTTATGTAATGTGCTCCACAGGCAACCATGCATTCGGCGTCGTCATTGGCTCAACAGGTCAATGTACATGTATTACTACCAAAAGGCCAGAGAATCCGGTTCCTGTATTAAAATCAACTAATGTTCGCTGGCGATTTAATTTCGCTGATTTCGCCGCTTGGTACCAACCGGCCAAAGTAAATCGCAGGCCAACGTTTGTCATATAAGCAAATGATGCATGATTGAGCAATGGATGCATGTGAGAGCAAAAATACCGATCGATTTCAAATTTGACGTGAAACTGCGCGTCACGTCGGAAATAACGTGCATCTTAACCTCCCTAATCGAGAGGTTTCTATTTCTCATCGAAAATTTGTTGATTTACAATACAAGGAGATAAAAATTAAAGAAGGAGCAAAACAAAAGTAATGAATATAACTAAATGCGCACTCATATCACAACCATGGGGACGAATCATGTATTCCAGAACGTTTTCTTGTCACAATTATCAATGGAATTCGTGACTAAAGAGAATGATGAAACTACAATAGGATTTATACACTTGCAGTGGAACAGCGAGGATACAAGCATAGTAAGAAAAATAGCACAAACCTAGGAACAATTTGCACAGGTAATAAACTATAGGTGAGGTGAGAAATGATAGGAAATTCAGCAAGTGCAGTGTGACAATGGACATGCATGTGTAAGTGTGTGTGAGTGCGAATTTACTGGAATAGCGTAAGTGCGGTGACATTTTCTTTTTGTTTACAAAGATTTGGATCACGAATGCGAATGTAGACTGCTTCTAGAACTTTCAACTGCTTGAAACTACTTGCAGAACGAACAACACTGAACCAAGAATCATCATAACTTTCACGACACACGGGGTTAGACATGCATGTCCATTGTCACACTGCACTTGCTGAATTTCCTATCATTTCTCACCTCACCTATAGTTTATTACCTGTGCAAATTGTTCCTAGGTTTGTGCTATTTTTCTTACTATGCTTGTATCCTCGCTGTTCCACTGCAAGTGTATAAATCCTATTGTAGTTTCATCATTCTCTTTAGTCACGAATTCCATTGATAATTGTGACAAGAAAACGTTCTGGAATACATGATTCGTCCCCATGGTTGTGATATGAGTGCGCATTTAGTTATATTCATTGCATTATTAAGATTATTGTCTCCACGTCGCCTTTTTACAAAAAAAAGTAGATGATTATTAGAGAAACAACAATCCGCAATAAATTCTGCAAATACTTTTGCCTAACTCATAATATTCAAACCGATTGAAACGTTTTTGTAATACAGTGATGTGGCCAATCAACGGAAAAAGACAATTCAATCAGTTCTTATAACATGTACGATGAGCTAGGCAAAAAAGCATAAAAGCGAAGCGTAGGGCCCTGAGCTTCCAAGCTCTCTCGTTTGAACAATTTTAGGGTAATAACACTATCTTTCTGGACACACAAATTCGGCTTATGAATGCGCTGACAAACAGCTTCCAAAACTTGTAACTGCAAAAGATAACCATGACGAGCACGGCACGAAACAGAAAAACAGGAATCAGAATAAGTACGACAACATTCAGTACTAGAAACCAAATGATTGTATACTGAAGACTTGTTATTACGAGACGGACGCACACAATCTCGACTCACGCGCACACCCTCACACTCACTCTCACCCTCACTCAGCACACCTTATCCCTCACTGTCCGAATCAGAACCTGCTCCGTCATCCACAGCGGTTTGACTCTCCTCCTCACTTGCATCGTCCTGCGTCTCACCTTCACCACTCACGCCAACCGTGAATGCCGTTGCCTTCATGTCAGTCGTCGTCCTTTCCGATTGTTTCCTTTGTATTTGTAACGTGAATTCATAGGTCCGGTTGTAATCTGCTGTAGATCTCCGTAGTCTGTCATTTGCTGCTTTGTTTTGTGGATTAGTTGTTGTAAAATCCTGGTGTCATTATCGTGGAAGCATGGTCTTCGTCGACAACTCAGCTGTGGGGGGCAGACGAGCGAATTCCTCCTAGGACTCTCATTTATGCTTTTGCTTTCGCCACGCTCGGCCGGGTTGTCTCGACGTTCAACGGCAGCGAGCAACGGAGGCGCAAATGGGGACAGCGCGAGGTAGCGGTCGGTCCGGCCACGTACGGTGCGCAGCAAGGTGTGACGGCCAGCGGAGATCTGTTGCTCGGGAGAACGCCGGAGGGGACTCTGCGGGGACAGTCGACGTGGTGCGTCTCTGCATGCCTGCGCGGTTGGCTGGAGAACTGCCCAAGTGCACACACAACCTACATCCGACCCGTTCTCGAATATGGCAGCCTTGCCCTCTCCAACACCACACAGCAACAGCGGGACACACTGAAGAGAGTTCAACGCCGTGCTATACGCATCTGCCTTCGGATTCCCCTCTTTGCACCAGTTCACCACAGCTCCCTACTCCATCACGCAAAGCTCCCCACCCTTAGCTCACGACTCCTTGTTAAACAAGCCCTACTAGCATGGGACATCCACCACCAAACCTCCCCACCACACCTGGAGCAACCACATCTTGCACCACAACGTCAACACCAGCCATACACCCTTCGACAGACAAGGACCTACTCCATCGGACACGCACACACGAACAGGCACCGAGATTCCCCCATCAACAGTGCCCTCACCCTCTACAACTCACTCCCTATCGACATCACAACCCAACCTCGTAGAAATTCTTTCCGAAACAATGCATCCAGTCTTCTTTTGAGCAGTACCTGC